TACTAGTAACGATCTCGCTTGTGTCAATCCTTGCGAGTCAGGGAAGGATAAATGTTGTCAGTCTTCAGCTTCCATTTGCCAGTAGCTCACACTCACCAACACCCACCCCACACTAGTGTGCACAGCCTGTAGCAATCTTGCGACTTCAAGTCGAATAAATCTATGAACATACACGATTACAAACGTCCCGCCTTATATGCCGCTTTCGAACGGAGCGGTAATGATCACGCGCTACGGAAATGATGTGATAGAAATGAAAGAAGGAAAGGAAGGAAATGAAATGATATAACTTTATTATTAACCAATGAGAAACGTATACGACATCGCGCGATGGGCGGACTATTATGGTGTGAACTAGTCACAAACGGTGGGATCGCGTAGCAATCCCGGGAACTGTTCAATACAGGCGCTATCTGATTGGGCATTAAAGATAACTTTAAATTGGTAACATCGAATCACAGTACAGCTGGTATGCGTTTTTCTAGGTTCCAGCAGAAAAGATAATAATAGGGTCTGAATGGCATGGTTGCCACACGCCCGGGCTTGAATGGAGGTAATTCGAGCAGCTTTACATTACCAACCCGGGCGGCGCCTTATAGTGACGTCACCCGGGCAGACACCGGGCGGCGCCCGAAAGTGACGCCACCCTGCCGGATGGCCGGCGGAGCGTTGTGTGGCTAATGGACGGCGACCGGCATAGAGCCGCAAAGAAGTTCTTTTTTGGGTGCCGTAAAGGGAGTTTGCAAGTGGATCGTAGACAAGTAATGCTTTGAAACTAAGTGGATGCGTTGGACGAAATATCGCAGATGATGCTGGACTTATGCAGCAATGTAATATCCATACACCTAAAAATATTGCACTGCAGTGGCATTCCACCGAGTGCCAGCAATTATGAAATGGAAAAAATAATGGCACTTTGTTTCCATTTGCTTGTGTACCATTACGCCGCAGCGTACTGCGCGTCCCAGGCCCTCTCGTAACAGCGAGGCATCGCCCTAATCGGGTTTCGAAGATAATGGAGGTAATTTACCCCGGCGGTGCGCGGGGCTGGAAACAGGTCGACCCAGCGAGGCCGTTTCGCGCCACAAACACGGGGCCCAGATCACCATCCGGACGAAACCGACACTACGGCAGCGTAATGTTGTTTTGCAGTGCTTGCTGGCGCTGTAGCCAAAGTTTATCGCTGCGCGCTCACCGAGGCAACTGCATCGATATGACTTTGTTCTGTGTTTCTTCTTGCTTGTCTGCTCCCTATTATGTTCCTAGTTTCTTATCTGTGCATTGCAAAGGTTTGTGCACATCGCACGTGTGTTCGTGTGAGAGACTATATTCATATGCTAGGTATTTGATGACGATTTCATCTGCGCCTGAAATAGATGTTGGTTTGGATAAATAGAACCGTGACCGGGGACTTTTCGTTGCAATGGAATGTCACGATCATGGAAGCTTAGTACTATTATTACCAACACCTTTCCATAGTGGAAGCTGTGTTGGTATTCAGTAGGTTTTAAAATACGGGGTACTGCGCATTGACCTTTTGGATATGTGGCTAGAATTATATCCGTCACGTAAGATTGCACTGACCTCTCTTCATGACGAATTGTCTGCCTAAAAATATAACAGTTTTACGGAATGGCTGAGGCAAGACATAAGTACTGCGGACGAGATACTTTGACTATCATCTGTCATCCTCGTCCGTGTGTTAACATCTACACAAGGCCAGTTAGTAGTGTGCTACTTCCCCGACCTTTCTAGCTTTCCAGTGTTGCTCGCTGCCGATGATGCTTACTTCATCCCTGGCTGGTCCCATCCCGTGCTGAGAACGACGCATGCATTCCAACATACCGGACGAAAACGAAAGTCTAAACACTTATTTCAGCCGAAAGAGTTCCATTGCTCATCCAAATCATATTTTAAAAAACCGGTGTTTCGCTATGTTTCGTAGCTTTGATATCCCTGAAGTCATTCCGTCACGATATGTCGACATTTCTATTTGAACAAAGTCCTCTGGTGTGTGTAACCCTCCCCCTGTGCGAGGTTTCCACCTTCGCTCTGCGATGGCGAAGTGAATGTAATTGTACTGCGAAAGCAATGTGAGGGAAAGCTGGGCGTACCTTTCATGATGCAAATGACATCCAATGGGTAAAATTAGCACTTAAAAATCTCTCCTGCCTGTTTTTAGAAACTAAGCATGCCAACAAAGCAGAAGACAGGATTGCACACCTCTTGGGAAAACTTATGTAGGCACTGGTGATTATCAACAGGTGTCGCATGTAGCATGTCATGTCAGGTCATACGGGTACACGCCTGGTTTCTTTATAGTTGCTCGAGAACTTCATACGGGATTTTCCAACGACGCCTCGTCACCAGCTTTCCCGCGGGAATCGTAGTTGGGGGTCGGTTAACACTCCCAACGCTGTCTTCTGGGCTGTGATGTCCCTGCTCAGATGACTCTCTTGGATCTGGACGAGTGTAATCCGCTGCACTCATTAAGCGTGCGCTGGGCGAGCTATTCACTCTGAAGCAGCCTGTCTTAGTTAGGACCGGCCGAAGAGGCCTCAGCCCATAATTTGTTCATATCGCCTCTCTCCGTGCTCCACTTCGAGCGAGCAGCAAGTGTTGATTTCCGAGACAGCCAACTTGGACAAACTTCTCTATAGCTCTGCGGAGATTTGCCGCCGGGTGGCCGGATCCCGGCCGCGGACGGCCCCCTGCGTCGCCACCGACGCCGGCGGAGAGTCGGCGTCGGCGTCGACGTCGGCGCTCGAGCTGCGCGGCGCGGGTCGGCGACGGCAGACGACCCACTTCCGTCGCGGTCGGCGGGGCTCGCGATGGATTACGTCTGACGTAGCCTCCGTCCACATCATCGTGCGATAGATCAGCGAAGCTGTACGGCGGACGCGGTCGAGAGAAAAAAAGCGGAGCTCCAATGTAAGGGCGGACCAGGAAGCGTTGGTATCGCGGCTGGCGACGTTGGTACGGCGACTGGCCACGTTGGTACGGCGACTGGCCACGTTGGTACAGCGACTGGCCACGTTGGTACGGCGACTGGCCACGTTGGTACGGCGACTTGCCACGTTGGTACGGCGACTGGCCACGTTGGCACGGCGACTGGCCACGCTGACGTGGTGACCACGGAGCGCGTCCCTAGCTGCCGGAGCGTGTCCAGGGAGAAGGCCAAGGGGTCGTGACACCCCCTCCCCCTGAGTCAAGAAGCTTACATCAGGTACTCGGCTTCATGCCTGCACGCTCGTGTTTTGACACGTGACATTAAACACGCGCACGCGCATTTCGCTTAACCGCGGCGCCGCCGAAGCTTGTGCAGCATTAGGGCTCGTGTGGCAAAGGTGCGTAGGCTGGCGTATTTGATGTGCGTGCGCGGAGAGTTTCAGAAGCATGTGGATCTGCATATTTTCATGCGCGATTGTGTTGTTTATTTTGCATGTTTTTCATGTAGAAAGTGACTGAGTATTATTCAACCCTCTCGTTTATGGCACTCGTGTACGTTGCACCTGGGCATCTAAATGCATATAATGCATAACCGTATTGCCTCATACCACGGGGAGTACGTTCTTTTTCGGGCTTAACATTGAGTGCTATGGATAGCGACATTTAGATTCAACAGCCTTTGCTCGATGAATAAATCATCCGATAATAAGCGAGGCTCCAATATGAGTTAGGTTCAACGACATCGCCCCATGGCTACTCTTGTTGCGCTGCCACAAATGGTCTGTGGCTTCCGATGGAGGGGAGCAATGACGTCCTATCTGTTTCTCGGCCATTACAGCTTGGTAACGATAATGACGCAGCATCGAGCCCAACGGATGGCGCGATTCGACGGCGAATGGACCTCTCGAACAGATTCATGACCCGCTCACTTCAGTTTCTCCCCAGGATAACACAGCCACCGACACGCGAATCCATGGCCCATTCCTCCAGCTACTCCCCCCCCCCCCCCGCCCTAAACGTGTAGGGAAGCTAATGAATAAGAGAAGACTCTTGCATGCACTGAACGTATGCAGGACTTGGTAAAGATGGGCCATCGAACGATCAAATGTGTCACTTGATCAAATGGAGTGTGCCTAGGCAAGTTAGGATTTTTGACTGTGCGCGAAAGATGGAAGGGAATTTCGATTTATAACATTTGGTGTCATTGATACAAATTCGCCCCCACTGGCGAGATTGCTAAAACTCCCAAATTTTATTTGGTTCGCATGGAAGAAAGAAGTTATTGGGTAGCCCCAAGCAATATTCACTACTAAACACAAACACATCGACATCATTGGGAAGGTATCGTTAGCTCTACCCAATGTTTTTTTTCGGAGATGTCGCTTGCCAGCGCTGACAGCAGCTTGCAAACGCGGCGGTGGTGGCGGCCATTACGCCGATGTTTTTTTGTTTTTTGTTTGCATCCAGTTGAGGGCTACGAGTGTACGGGCTTAGACGTATGGTAAGGCTAGTCAGTTGGAACGCACCAATTCATGTCGGCCTACTTTATACTGAGACGAGGAACAAGTATTGTGTCGTGTCAATCGGCTGCACCAGGCTCTAGAGAAATGTGATTCGACGTTGCTTAGCAACCAAAATAATGACCATTTTTCTAGCGCTCAGTTACTCGCCACATATAAGCCAGTACATTCGTCCTTTCCTGCCCGCTGATTGGTTTATCTTTTAGGATTGTATTTGTTTGAGCACAGCCACTGATGGGATCGATAACAATGAATAAGCAAAAGCTGTTGCAAGACCGAAATGCACATTTAGCAACCAAAATTGATGATGATTAGATGATTGCCAAATCTCCTTAAACGTGTAATGAGAAAATCGAAAACATTAGACACACTCCCTCTTTTTAACCTAGCATGCTGTGAAATCACGCAAGCGCGTCAAATCCACATACGTGCCTTCATGCGGAAAGCGAGTGTGTACTACGCCCCCTTTAATACACCGCTGTGTGTCTGCTGAATGCAAACAGTAAGGAGGGTATGTTCGTGCTGCTGCAGAACTGGCGAACATGGCGAGTGGAGCCAGCAGCCCATCTCCACGCCAGATAACCAGACATCGTTCGTGGTGGCAGACCTGCAGCCGTTCACCGCCTACAGCTTCAGGGTGACAGCCGTCAACGGCATCGGCGCCTCGCCAGACGGCATCGCCTCCTACCCCATCATCACGCTGAGAGAAGGTGAGGTGATGGAGAGCGACGGAGTGTGTGAGGATGAGATGGTTAGTTCCGACAGCCTCATACAAGACTGAGAGAAGGTGAGATTGTGGACGGCGGGGAGCAGATTATCAGAGGCGGAAATAGTGTAGACTAATTATCGTATCCAACGCTGAGAGGAACAATGGTGTGATTGACGATGGATTCTGTAATGGCGGAATATAGCGGTATATATATATATACACATATATATATATATATATATATATATATATATATATATATATGGCACATGGGAAGGGAGGTGTATATATATATATATATATATATATATATATATATATATATATATATATATATACCTCCCTTCCCAATGCCGCGGTCAGGAAAGATGAAGAATGAAGAACGCTGAAACATTTGCGGGCAGTATCTCCTGAGGTTTTTTCGCCAACGAGGTCAGCATATTTGCTGCAGACATCGCACTTACCATGTGGGGCACGTTACCTGCCCCAGATTTTTGCCGCAGCTGTTCTGTGTAATATTCTCTGACAATGACCACGTCTTTGGCGTATGTGGAGGGCGAGGCAAATCGGGTAGTTGCTTTACGATTTACGACACGTGCTGGACGATCACTTGCAATGAACTGACTTCGTACATGTGAACCGCACACGTGATCTAAACGCCTCCGTGAGTCAGATACAATCCATGTTTGACAAACGTGTCAGCGCGATTACAGTGCTGCTGCAAACGTTTGGTATTGCATGTCTCCTGCTCTGAAGCGCTATCATGCTAGCGCGCGTTTTTTTCCATCACGCTTTGTTCGCATGGGCGGCCACAGATCAGGGACGCTTTCACCAGTGGCGAAAGGTCAACATGGTCAAATAAGAGAGCAGATGATAGTTAATAACGGGGCAGATTAAGAAATGAATGTAATTTAAGAAATTTCTAGCCTTGGGGGGGAGAAGGCTTTAACGAAAGGGGAAAACATTTAGCTGCTTGCATGCGTTAGACTCCTACGCCAATCATATTGTTGGTGGAACACGCTATTGTCACAACGTAACAATTTAAGCGGTATTCTCTTTGATCGCGCCAATGGATTCGACTTGAACCGAGCCTGTTCTCAAACCTATGTACGCATCCTAAACAACACAACGCAACCGTTTTATGTCCATGCCGATACTTGGAATCATCGCATCCATGGTCAAGTACGATTGTCCTCACAGCTAAATTTTTAGCTACCGTTTACATTTGGTGCGTTTTATTTTCAGTTAATAATGTTGTTGCAAGAACCCTTGGCAACTCATTTTCATGACAAACATTGCCCAGCACTAATGTGGCATAGGAGTACTGGGTTTGGCTCCATCCATATGATTCTTCTTTGACTAGCTAGGAGACCGATACCCTCGGGCAAGTTCTGTACATTCTCAGAAATGTTGATGTGATTTTGGTCACATGTTGGCTGCAGTGGTCAGTTGGCAAAAGCTGTGTGATGTGCAACGCGAAACTATTCTGCAATGTAGTGAATAGGCAGCCTGCACCGGGCTGCAAAGCTTTTCAGGGAAGAAAGAGAGCATATCGCAGCAGATGAGAGGTAGATATACTATGACAAAGCACTGCTCTCAGAAAGGAAATCAGACAGCTCGCAGCGCGTCATACGCAGCTCCGAAATGAAACCAACAATGTCGTTTCTTCCCACACCAGTCTGGTTCTGAACGTGCCACATTCTCCATACAGGGATCAATTGTCACATAATCACTGAGATACCAGTTTTGTAGACTGTGGCACCGTACTGGCACGCCCCCCCCCCTCGTCCTTCGCCTCTACGCATCGCATGCTAATGGTAAGCTTGAAATCGGAGGACTCGAGCGTTCTTTTATGAAGATTGGGGTGTTGCATATATAACATACAATATTCATGCGCTCATCAATCATTGGTGATGACAAGCTGTTACGAAATTATTTTCAACGGCACATTAAGCGAGCTTCGATGGATGAGCGCTCATGTTATCCTGCAAATGATGCGTGACTCTAAGTTAGGCAACTTGCTGATGTGCAATGCATTAGTCATGTAAAAAGCGAGGCGCCCCCAAAATTCCCAGCCTGCCGGTGAATCTTCATCCATTTTCCGCTAATGTGATGGACTGACAACAACGACAAGCAACACATCAATCCTCAGACGACGTTTGTAAACCCGAGACCCAGGCTGGCGTGTGCACCGCATTCTTCTGTCGCTGGGCAGGGACCGTGCTGCCTTTGTTTAGAAACAGTTTGTAAGAGTTCAACGGTCGGCGTCGGATGACACGTAGCCGTTTACAGATGATTGTCCGTACCTCGGCAGGCTTAGCGCCAATCTGTAACTTACCAACAGCTTCTGAACACCATATGGCTTATGTTCATGCTATATTATGCCATGTTGCCCCAGTTATGAAAAACAACGTATCGCTTGAAATGTGCGAAATGCACTATTTTAATTTTAGACCTAATTAACCACTGAATCGTGTGTTTTAATACAATTGCCTGGTGTTCATGTTTTGTTCGTATTATATGTATTGGGGAGTACTTTGGGGCTGCGTGTAAAAATGCTTCTTGCCCAAGCCATAGCTGTGTGTAACTAATTTCTCATATTTTAATCCACCTGCCATGTTTTCACAAAATTTGTGGCGCCATATTCGGCACATGTTACCTAATTGGACCTGCACGCTTTGAGTAATGACATATGCCGTTCCTCTATTATTTCTCCTAGACCTGTTACTAAAGGTGCTGCTCCAACTTGTATCCTATGCCTCCCCATCTTTGGACGTTAAACGATAATCTTGGCTGCCCACATCATTTGAAACGTGGCTTCTCCAGACACACGGACTCGCCATGGTCCCCCTGGTACATTACAGCAATGGCTTTGACCCGTACCGCCTCCGTGACATTTTCCTGCAATCTCCCGGCGGTGGGGCGGCCAACCAGGCCAGCGTGGTCTGTTGAACTTCCGTCACGCTCTTCCACAGCCCCAGCCGGGAAGCCGGCGATCCTGGCGGCGCATAATACAAGCTCCACTTCGGTCCGGGTCCGCTGGAGGCCGCTGTCCAAGGAGGAGCTGCGTGGAGAGTTTCAGTTCTACAGGATCACTTACCGGGAGCGGAGCAACGTCAGCAGCCGGATTCGAGAGCTTCGGATCAAGGATGAACGTGTTCAGGTGGGGTTCAGGTGGGCGTGTTCAGGTGTGGTTCAGGCGGACGTGTTCAGGTGGAGTTCAGGCGGACGCGTTCAGGTGGAGTTCAGGTGGACGTGTTCAGGTGTAGTTCAGGCGGACGCGTTCAGGTGGGATCAGTACACCGAGCCCAGCGCCGAGCCCGTTCTAGCGCCGAGCACACGCCCCGTATAGGGTTCCCTGTGCCGGCCGAGTTTCGGCATCCGCCCTTCCATCCTATGTTTTGCTCTATCCTGTTACCTCGCAACTCCTCACTTGTCGCGGGCAGGCTGCACACGCGCGCCACGAGCGAGCCAATGTTCCCCTTGTGAGTACCCCGTCCGAGCGTCGAGCGCACACCCTGCATGCAGTCCCTGTACAGGCAAAGCCTCGGCGGATGTGTCGCCAGCAGCATGCAGTCTTCCCGTAGCTTTATCCATTTATCTCCATGTCATCGCCCCAAAATGGTCATGCTTGGCGGAAAGGGCTTTAATCCGAAACATCTAAACCTAAATCAAGTCTGGGTAGAGGACCGACCCCCAGGCCCACACATTTTTACCCCACTAGTTTCCACTCGCCTTTATCCCATAGGCTTGAAATGGTCGCTACTGGCCATAAGGTCTGTAATCCTGGTCAAACCAACCATATCCCCAGGCGGCAAAGTTTCTTCGATCCTAGATGTCCGCTTTGGATTTCTGAACTTACTCCGAACGCACCCTTCGAAGAACACCTTACTGCTTGCAAAGTGCGTAAATGTCCCATGTTATTACAAAACATGCCCAACGAGTGAATCTTTGCGCTAGTGTGGTTGTCTGCTGTCGATGTGTTGTGTCGTACTAAACTTTTCGCTCATTCACAGATATGTGATTACGCGTGTATTACCACAATAACATGATGAACTTGGCCTTTGAGAATACGGTTTTGGCAATAAGTGATACCTATATACCCTATATGAACCCTATATATATATATCTATATATATATATATATATAAATATATATATATATATATAAATATGCGTATATGAACCCGGTACCTTCCGTAGCGTTCTCCCGCCGGCACCGACGTTGGGAGTTAAAAGTAGCTCACAATCTGGTTCTCGGATCAAAACAAATGCGAACGGCAAACGATGGCCTCGATAAATCTCACCTAGCGCCATTGAGCTGGCATATTTTGCGTGATTAATAAAGCCTCAGATCGAACAAACTACCTTCGAAATAATCCAGAACATTTGAACAACTTCAGGACTATTAAACACCCGAAACATTATACGCACAGGTTTTGTTTACAGCGCACCAAACGAAAGGGTGTATAAATGTGCTTTAGAATCATATATTCTTGTCAACAAAGATTACGGATGCCGGGTCAGGGCAATGTTGTGAAAAAACCATGTCATGTCGAGGCCAAATCACCTCATCGAGTCTTATTTGTCCGCCCTTCCCGTCGACGTTTCAAAAGGAAGTATTTCGTGTGTCCATCTGACTGCTACGCTCACGGCTACTGACATTCTTATTCTGAGTGTATCAAAGCGCGCTGGCTCAACACCTGCAAGCTGATCCCACGCTATCGTGGATTAACCTGGAGCGTGGCCTTGTATGGTATAACTGACACGGAATGGCAGGCAGTCAAACCTTTCGACGAATTACAGCAAAGGGGCCAAAAACAAGGAAGAAAACTGCGAATTACTGCGAGAGGAGGCAGATATTGTCCTGCAGGTTTCAACAAGGCAATGGCCTAACCTAACTTCGAACAGCTTTACCCACGAAAGTCTTAATTAATCGTTAGTCAGATTTTCACAATTTGATGTACCTACCTAGTACGTATGGGATTCTTTTGTTGGGACAGATTCCCGTGGACAGAATGGGATGCTTTTGCTCCATCCCCCACACCACGCGCTGCATGTTTTAAAACATGGATACTTGGGGTGGTCACGATATTCGGTCGAAATTGATTATTTTGTGCATCTCCTGCTCGTAATGGGAAGCTAGAAGTTCATGTGTAAGAGTGGAAACTACAGCACAATGTGAAGTTTTCCTCCCGGTCATATCGATCCCTCTGCCGGAAGTTGTGTGTGTTCGCTCACAGCAGTGTAGCGGTCCCTCTGCCGGAAGGTGCATGTGTTCGCTCACGGCAGTGTAGCGGTCCCTCTGCCTGAAGGTGTATGTGTTCGCTCACAGCAGTGTAGCGGTCCCTCTGCCGGAAGGTGTGTGTGTGTTCGCCCACAGCAGTGTAGGCGTGCAAACGAAATGTCGCCTGACTTAAGGATGGCCACCACGCACGACGCGTATGAACATGTTGTCTCCATCTTCAGAGCCACACCATCTCCGGGCTCCGTCCGTACACGCAGTACATCATCTCGATACAAGTGGAGAACCCGGCTGGCCTGGGTCCCAGCTCCACGGTCGTGGTCACCACGGACGAAGGAGGTAAGAGCTGTCAGTCTCTCTTTTCCCATTCTTTTTGGTTAAAACTGGGTATGTGCATTATGATGAGACTGTTGTCTGCACGTTGTAACCAAGGGTTAATGATTGATGTATAAACACTTGATCTTGTGCTGATACCGCTCGCTGTTTGGGTTACTCCGCCAGTCCTGCCTCTTGACGGGCATCTGCGCCGATCGCTGTTTGGGTTACTCCGCCAGTCCTGCCTCCTGACCGGCATCTGCGCCGCTCGCTGTGTGGGTTACTCCGCTAGTCTTGCCCCCTGGCCGGCATCTGCGCCGCTCGCTGTGTGGGTTACTCCGCCAGTCCTGCCTCCTGACCGGCATCTGCGCCGCTCGCTGTTTCAGTTCCCGAAGCGCCACGGCAAGTGTCTGTCGTGAACGTGACAGATACCACGGTCACCATCTCGTGGCTGGCTCCGAATCGCCCCAACGGCCTGATCGAGGGTTACCGTATCTACTTCACTACCGGCAACTTCACCAATGCCACTTGGCTCAAGCTGCCCGTGGATGACATGCAGTACACGCTGAAGAATCTAGGTCAGTTGGTAGACTGCGGTGGTCAGAGGTTTTGCCTAAGTACCAGTGTTAGCGTGATTTCAATGTGCGTTGTCCCCCTCGTTACAATTAGCAGCCTATTTTTCGCTTCATTAAGTATTACGAACAAGACTGAAACCTTTGCATGATGCTTTACTCATTTCCAGGTCGCAGGTTTGATCAAGGAGTGGTGGTGGTTGTCGACATTCGCGTTCCCGTAATGCCACGTTGAATTGGCCGACATCACTCCCGTAATTCACCAGCATCTGTCCAGCTATAGAGCTACTTCATGCGGCAGTGACAAGCTGATGTCATACGATCTCGGTCAATATATCTCTCTGAAATGGGACGGAACGTCGCCTGTCTATTTTGATGTTCGAACTGCTTTATCTGGATAACTTGGGACAGAATTGGATGGGTGTTTCCCATTCCGATCCCCGTCGTTCCATTATTCATATCCAGTACATAAAGTGTACGCTACCGTCATGAAAGGAGTTTCGACATATTACGATAACTAATTATGTTGCCGGCGACAGTGACTTGTGCAATGACCAGTCTCGGAAGATGAGCCTGAGGGGCTCGACATGCCGCTTAGAAATTAGCGCGGCTGGAATCCAGCCACTGTTCAGATGCACGAGGGCGATGTTCCATGTCTCGCTTGACTTTGCGAGAATTGTCCTCACTCCCAGGCTTGCAGTACACGAAATGCTTCGTTCAGAAGTGCAGAGGACTGGGACCATGCTTGTCATACGGGATACGCTCACCACTCGGAGCCCGATGCTCTCACCATTCGGAGCCTCATACCCTCGCCACTCGGAGCCCGATGCTCTCACCATTCGGAGCCCCATACCCTCACCACTCGGAGCCCGATGCTCTCACCATTCGGAGCCCCATACCCTCGCCACTCGGAGCCCGATGCTCTCACCATTCGGAGCCCCATACCCTCACCACTCGGAGCCCGATGTTCTCACCATTCGGAGCCCCATACCCTCACCACTCGGAGCCCGATGTTCTCACCATTGGGAGCCCCATACCCTCACCCCTCGGAGCCCGATGATCTCACCCCTCGCAGCCCGATGCTCCCACCACTCGGAGCCCCACACCCTCACCACTTGGAGTCCGATACTCTAGCCACTCAGAGCCCGATACCCTCACTACTCGGAGCCCGACACCCCCATCACTCAGAGCCTGATACCCTCACTACACGGAGCCCGATACTCTCACCACTCGGAGTCCGATACTCTAGCCACTCGGAGCCCGATACGCTCAACACGGAACCCGATGCCCTCACCACTCACTGATCGCGGTGCCGCATTTACTAAACATATGCATGACTTCACAACACAAAGCCTGAGAAAGGTACGTTCAAATTATGGCAGTCTTTCCTACTCTACGAGTTGGCCTCTGGAGAAAACTCGGTCGAACAGGTGACCTTAGCCTGTGGGTCCCTCCGGAGCCCGATGTGCAGTTAGGACGGCTGAAGCTGAGAAAATCCGAGCATGGCATCCGAGACTGAACCGCCAGGCTCATCGCCACCCTCGGCCTGCAGAGCCCTTCTCCAACTACTCGATCGCGGTGAAGGCGTTCACGCGGAGCGTGGAGGGCCGCGAGTCGGCGGCGCTGGCCGTCACCACCGACGTGTCGGCGCCGGCCGCACCGCGGCTGACCTCGCTGGCATGTCAGCCGGACGCGGCCCTGCTGCTCGCCTGGCGACCGCCGGGCCGCGTCCGGGGCCGCATCGACTTCTACGTGGTCGGCTACCGGACCGGCCAGGCGACGGCGCTCACGGAGCTGCAGGTCACCGCCGACTCGGCAGAGCAGGAAAGCATGGTGAGCCACGCAGTGGGTCTTAATTCACAGGGATTGTCTTTATGATGGGTCTGGATGGTCATGGGGCGAACGTGCTAGGTCTGGTTGGGACTCAACGGGGCGTGGTGGATATTGGGATTGCGGCGGCACAGTCAGTGAGTTGTTCCGGCAGCGTGCTTTAGTTGTCTCAATGTATCACATCCGGTTTCTCACCACGTCTCTGGACCAACGTCGCCTTGATTCAGGTGCCGTCCAAGCTCCCTCACCGTCTTTGTCCGCTCTCTCTCTCGGCCAGTTCCTTCTGCCGAACCTGACCGCTGGCGCGGTGTATGAGGTTCGCGTGCGTGCGGCCACCCGCTCCCTACACCGGCCGGCCGTGTTGCTGCGCTCGCCGTACTCGGCGCCACGCACCGGCCGGGTGCGGCGCCACTGCGGCCGCGCCGGTGGCGCCGCCACGGACGTGTGGCGCCACCTGGGCGGCGCCGCACCCCTGGACGCCGGCGTCGTGGCCGGCATCGTGTGCGCCAGCTGCGCTTTCCTGCTGGCGCTGCTGGCCCTGGCCATCTGGAGGTGAGGTCACTGCTGGCCCTGGCCATCTGGAGGTGAGGTCACTGCTGGTGTATGGCCATCTGGAGGCGCGGTCACTCCTGGTGTCTGGCTGCCGGTGTTTGTCACGTCTGCTGCACGTTGATAGACTGCAGCAGTCCTCTGTGTGGGTGCTTGGTGCATTCGCATGAATTGTATCAAACTTTTCTGTGCATTTGATATTCAGGCAGGGATTTGCTACAGAAGAAAGGGCAGATGAATACGGCTGTTTCATCCGTGCTATTTTTGACCGCTGTGTAATCTTCTACGCGCAAAAGATGCATTAAGTAGGAGTGGAGTGAAGAAGACTCTACAGGGATTCCCAGGCGGTTCGTTCATACCTTGATCACACGATCACTCTACTTTGCTTTTAAGTTCGGGCCCTGAACTCATCGGCAAGACCATCGTGGTTTTTTTGCTTTTGAACTAAGCGCCCCTCATACTCCACCCCAAGCCACACTGAGGCGTCACAGCATCAACGGTGTCCGCGTGCGGCAGGCGGTACTTCCAGTCGTCCTACTACTACAGCCTGGATGAGCCGGTGACGGCACGCGCGCCCGTGACCTCTGACCCGGGCTGGGAGCTGGACGGTCCGAACGGTTCGGCCGGCCCGATCCCTGCCGATGCCTTCCCGGTGCACGTGGCCAGCCTACACGCCGATTCGGACATCGGTAAGCGGGGAAGAGCGATCGGTTGCGGTCAGATGTACTCGGCACATTGTTTAGTGACGGAGGAAAACAAATCACGGTAGATTAATAATAATATTAATTAGAAAGGGAATCCACGTGTTGTGCGGTGATACATATAGCGTTTTGTCAGGCATTTCGATTGACATTTTTATATATAGTTTCATGCGGGCCGTGCCATTTACTCATAATGGCGCATACATACACCATCATGTGATTAATATAGATTTCCACACTGGAGTGTAGAAACCAGGAGCTTTGTCATGGTCCTGACTGTACACTTTGTTGCCACTTGTTGCCAGGATTCTGCAAAGAGTATGATGAGGTGCTGGCGCACACAATGAAGTTGGAACTCTCTTCGAACGTGTCACAGACCGAGGAAAACAAGCAGAAAAATAGATACCAGAACATTGATGCCTGTAAGTGCTACAAACATAAACGCTCCACGCACTTCGTGTGCATTTTCCGCGCGCTGTAATTGGTGATTGATTATTAATTCCCGATTTCACATTTGCTTCTCACCACAGCTTCCAACGAAATAAATATTGTGTACAATTGGGCATGTGAGTTTCCTGGGTTTAAGTTATGACATGCACGAGTTTGTCGGTTGTTGTTTTCGGGGCTTACTCCTGGTACGGAACAATATTTGTATTGCATGCTAAGACGCCCGCGCCCGATCCCACAGACGACCACACCCTGGTGCCCCTGAGGCCCCTTCCGGGCCAGCGGCGGGGAGACTACATCAACGCCAACTACATCGACGGCTTTCTCGTGCGCAACCAGTACATCGGCGCCCAGGGCCCGCTGACCGGCACTTTTGCGGCCTTCTGGCGGCTCATCTGGGAGCAACGCATCCAGATCGTGGTCATGATCACTAACCTGGTGGAGCGGAACAGGGTCAGTAGGTTTCTGGACTGACTACCGGCTCACTCCCTGTCGCTAGGCTGGTGGGTGTCTGCATGTTATGCAGACACCCTGCTGGTGGGTGGTGGGCTGGTGTCTGAATACATGTCAGTCTGGCTTTGTGTCGTCGGAAGCTCTACCAGCCATTACAGAGAAGATGTCGTTATGTGCATGTCGGCATTGCTGATGCAGGCAGCTATGCGTGTAGGTTGCGTATTTTCTCCTCGTCAAGCGCACTGTGCAATGAAATAAACTGTGATTTGTCGGGCACGTGATGAGGCACGTGAAGCCGTCGATGTAGTGGGTCATGTCGGCCTATTCACCTATAGTTTCGCACTAACGACATGGGTTTGTTGCAGAAAAAGTGTGACATGTACTGGCCGAAGGAGGGCACTCAAGTGTATGGAGTTATACAAGTGGAGCTTTTGGACCAGAAGGAGCTGTCGACCTATACGATAAGAAAAATGCTCATCAAACATACAAGGGTATTGGTGTATTGCTCTTTATCTGTAGAGTCGTAGAACGCGTTGATGCAGCGTCTCTGAATCATCCCGGCTGGTACACTATGTGTGTTCCGGGCGGGCCAAGTAGAAAAAGTACTGCATAGCATAATGCTGTTTTCTTCAGCTCTTCCCCTAATCATAAGCTCCTCACACAATCGCTATGCCTCTTAACTCGTTTTAGGTGGGATGACAGACTCCACCATCATCAAGCATACTTCGTCCTCCGTCTTCCGTCTCCCGTCCCCCGTCCTCGTCCGCCACTCGTTATAAAGGCAGAGTTTGTCACTCTCGCACGTTGTGATTCCGCATCCGTCAATACATCTACGGTCTGCCACAGCACAAGAAGAAGAAGGGCGTGTGCAGTGAAAGGATCATATACCAGTACCACTACACCAGCTGGCCGGACCACGGCGTACCAGACCACCCGCTTCCGATCCTCAGCTTCGTCAGAAAATCGGCCGCTGCGAACGGCGCCGGCGCGGGACCCATTCTGGTCCACTGCAGGTACGTATGGGCCTAGACTCCGGCGCGGGACCCATTCTGGTCCACTGCAGGTACGCGTGGGCCTGGACTCCGGCCACGAGCGAGACTGCTGCTCCACTGCATGCACGAGCGCAGGTGGGGTCTGAACCCGCCGATGGTACGAACGTGTCTAGACCGCTGATCGCTGCAGGCCGTCCGGTTTAATCGTAGATCCTAGTTTGAACCGTACATTCCCGCGGTAGTCGGAACAGCGTCACTTATTTATGGTGACTTTTAACACTACTTTGTTGTCGCCAGAAGTTTCTTTCCATGCAGAGGGTCAGCTTTGAGTGCCGTTACCAATATCCGTTCTTGCAGAGCCCACAGCTCTGTCCATCACAAACCGCTGTCCCTTGGTGCTCAAGAACTTTAATTTCTGGCGTCATTACCGAAGACACCAGAATCCAGTGACATGCTGCTTGCAGCTGAGGTTTAACGCAGCCTCATTCGTGCCACCAGTGCCGGGGTCGGAAGGACGGGCACCTACATCGTCCTCGACGCCATGATGCAGATGATGAAGCTCCGGGGCGCCATCAACGTGTTCGGCTTCCTCAAGTACATCCGCACGCAGCGCAACTTCCTGGTGCAGACTGAGGACCAGTACATATTCGTGCACGACGCGCTGTTAGAGGCCCTGGAGGCGGGCGAGACGGATGTGCGAGCCACGCGGCTCACCGAGTACCTGCACCAGCTGCGCTCCTACGACCCGAACCAGTACCCCCGCTACACGCTGGACCGCCAGTACCAGGTCAGCTGGCCGCCAGCGCTGGTTGGCTGCGCGCCGCATCAATGGTGGCGTCTCAGATGTGACGAACGCGTCACGCCAGCCCGCGCTTGGCTAGCGATGGAGTAACGTTGTCTCGTCCTCAGTTTTTTGCAGTTTAACTTCTGGGTGATAATGACCAATTTCGCCATGTTCCACAGCTGGCAGCACCTTGAATTGGTGCAAAATGCAAAGCGGTATGCGTACAGTTTGCTGAACAATCCACGTCAGTTGTACTTATTTACTAATTATGGTTAAAATTTGTCGATGTTTTACCCATAATACATTGATATGTTTTGTCCATTACTGGGCTCACTGGATTTGGTAATATGACTTTTGCATGTCAAACATTACTGTCTAGTGTCTAGTGTAGTGTAGTCTAGTGTAGTCAAATCATTGGGTAACCTGTACTTCGAGTCTGATGTGCGCCCTCTGCCCGTTACAGCTGGTGACATCATACCGGCCGACGGAGAATGACCTGGCAGGGGCCTTGGCTCCGTGCAACCAGGCGCGAAACCGGAGCGCCCAGTTTGTGCCGTTGGACCGGTGGCGGGTCCACCTCTCTCCCCGGCCGGGCGTCGAAGGCAGCGACTATATCAACGCCACTCCCCTGATAGGTACGTCGTCGGATCTAGGGTAAACCCATGTCGAGCCAACATACCCATTAGGGGTGTGATACCTTTATGATGTCATCATTTCATGGTAAAGCTGTTAATCAGCAGCAAGTCTCTCCCGTATGGTGTCCCTTGTGTGTGGTGAAGTAAAGCTGGTAAGAATGTCATATTTCAGTAGCTACAGCTTTTTCTCCTAGAAAATGCGACATTGACTTGCAGACGAAGACACTGTGTCATGACGTCATTGTGACGCCAGGTTACGAGAAGCTGTGCGAGTTCATCATCACTCAGCACCCGCTGCCGCACACGGTGGACGACTTCTGGCGAATGGTGTGGGAGCAGAACGTGCAGACCGTGGTCGTCCTCTCGCCCATCGACGACCAGGTGAGACGCCCTCCCACTCTCGGCACAGCGGGTCACACCGCAGACGCGTGTGGCAGCTGGCGATCACGGGCAGGCGTGGTGAGGGGGTGGCTTCCTGTGACGCTCAGCACGCTTCCTGTTTATGATCCGGAGCGAGCAGTTTGGTTATCGATGGCGTTTCTTTCTCATAGCCGCTGTCAACATAATGAACGTGCTTATGACACCATGTTAGCTCTTAGATAGATATCACCACGGTTTCACGCTTATAGTGTGTCGATCAAGCTAGCCCGTGTTACCACCTCTCCTGCCCTGTTTTTTTTTGGGGGGGGGGGTGGCGGGGGCTTCACAGCAAGCAGATACCAAAATGTCTCACGTACTGTGGTGTTAAACGCCAAGACGTCCATCTGAGTCGGACTCCGCGTTTAGTTTACTACGCGTGCATACTTGAGTAGTAACGTTTACGCTGCACACGCCCGTGTCCTGAGCGCCCGTCCACTGTGTCCGCCAGCATTACCCGCGCTTCTGGCCGTCGCCGGACGATGACATCGACGGCGACAGCTTTCGGGTGCGGTTCGTCGACGAGCCGGCGTCGGCGGCGTACGCCACCGTCGACCTGGTGCTGCAGTCGGCGCAGGACGACTACCAGGTCACGGTGCGCGTCATCTCGTGCGCCGCGTGGCCGCACGGTGCCGCCGCCTCGCCGCACCACCTGGTGGACGCCGTGCAGCAAGCCACGCTCCAGTACCAGAACGGACCGGCGGTGGTGGTGGACAGGTGCGAGGCAGGGCACCGCTGGTGGCGCACAGTTTGGAGGCGGGGGACCGCTGGTGGCACGCAGTCGAGAGGCGGGGGGCCGCTGGTGGCGCACTGTTGAGGTGCGGGGGACCGCTGGTGGCGTACAGTTCAGAGGCGGGGGACCGCTGGTGGCACACAGTTGAAAGGTGGGGAACCTCTGGTGGCACACAGTTGAGGGGCGGGGGACAGCTGGTGGCGCAATGTTCAGAGGCGGGGGGCCGCTGGTGGCGCACGGTGGAGAGGCGGGGGACAGCTGGTGGCACACAATTGAGAGGCGGTGGGCGCCTTTGAACGATGCGCAACCGATGGCCGACGGTATTAAGAACAATCCGATGTGGCTTCATCGACACGGTAAAACAATTCACATGATAGCTCGTGTCCTGATAAGAGTAACAAGTTGCTGGAATAACTACGCTGTGCCCGACGCTTGGCTTTCGTTTGTTGCGAATGAACTATTGCTTTTGTTTTTTTTTCTCAGATATTATATCGCATTATCATGCATTGTGTCGTTTTGAAGACAAGCTTGCAATGCCAGTGAGGTGAGTGTTGGACATCTGAACACAGGCGTATTCAGAGAATAGTCACTGTGCCCTTGATCGGCACCGAGGTGCCGTCTGCGAATCTCGAGGCAGCCAGCTGACTGCGGATGTGTGGACATCGACAGGTTCGGTGGAACTGAGGCGGCCACCTTCTGCTGCCTGACCACGCTGTCCAAGCAGCTGGTGAACGAGAACTCCCTAGACGTGTACCTGTACTCCAAGCTGTACCACATGAGGCGTCCAGGAGTCTGGCAGACCCAGGTACGCGTCAAGCACAGGGCAACTTATCTGCGTCTTAAGCTCATCAGGATAGAGCACGTGGGATATGAGGTTCGTATCATGAACAATTTGTGATTTTATGTTCGTATGGGATAAAGTTCATATAGAATAAGGTTCGAATGGTTGATTGTTTATCCGGAAAAAGTTTCTGATGAACTTGGTAGCATACGCAAAGTTGGTATGGAAAAACCTCATAAGCAGCTCGTACGCAAATGCTCGTCAAGATTTAGTCAGTTTGACAAAGCACGCACGTTAAGGTTCAAATGTCGTCAGGATTTTCGGCAGGATGAAGTCAGTTTGACAAATTGCGTGCGTAAAAGTTCAAATGCCGATGCACGATGCATTTACGCAAACCTCGTTTGCAAATGTTTGTCAGGGCAAAGTTTTTTTACAAAGATACCTACGCAAAAGTTTGTGTGTGGATGTGTCATGTAGGTAAGCGCAAAATGTTCGTATGCAATTGTTCGCCAGGCCTAAAGTTAGTTCAGCAAAGTACATACGCAAAAGATCGTAGGCAGATGTGAACTGGAAGTTCGAATGAAAATCCCCGTCTTTAGTGCTGGATGTGTGATGAGTGGTGTCTGCAGGGGCTCACTACATTACGCCCACTGAGGAGGGGGGGGGGGGGGGGGTAGGGGATGGCTGTGGACAGCGACAGTTGCATGTCAGGTCAAATATAATGACGAGCCCAGCTCTACATGACATGGACATAACATTCCTCCGGCAGCTAACGAATCAATGTGAATCAATAGAAAAAGTGCAAAGTGACCCAGTGGTTAAAAAGACTAACAGTTTTTCATAGCATGTTCACAGCAGATATCCAGCCGAGATTTTTGTGTTCCTGTTTAATTCTGGTCCCGACGACTCCACCTGACACCCCCTGAGCGTACGCCCCAAAGCCCAAATCAGAATCATAATCATCACCCCCTGAGCGTGCCACAGACGCCATCTGACGGACAGACGCGGCAGGAATCAGCTGGCTTGCCGGGTGCGGCGAGACGATGTGCCGGTGGCATCCGGTGTACGAGTGTTCATGTAAAGTAAACCCAGAGCCTTGAAAAAGCGAGAGAGAGAGAGAGAGAGAGAGAGAGAGAGAGAGAGAGAGAGAGAGAGAGAGAGAGAGAGAGAGAGAGAGAGAGAGGAGAGAGAGAGAGAGAGAGAGAGAGAGAGAGGGAGAGGGAGAGGGAGAGGGAGAGGGAGAGGGAGAGGGAGAGGGAGAGGGAGAGGGAGAGGGAGAGGGAGAGGGAGAGGGAGAGGGAGAGGGAGAGGGAGAGGGAGAGGAGAGGGAGAGGGAGAGGGAGAGGGAGAGGGAGAGGGAGAGGGAGAGGGAGAGGTGAGAGAGAAGACGCACCACCGGGACCCGATTTGTGCGCCCGCCTTGATTGGGAGCCTATCTGCACCTTTCACGTACTGCCCGAGACCATCAGTTTGAAACTTTTGGTTAGATTGAGCGAGAAAATACACAATTGAATGACATGCCTTATATCGTCCGACGGAGACCGAATTTGAGCAAAATCTGAGAGATGATGGTGCATAATTTGGTATCCCTGGTACTCGATCAGTCCATGAATACGCCCCGTGGAAATGCTATCCATCCAGACTTGTTGCTTTATGGTCAATGTTTACCAACTTTTGAGTACGCAAGTTATCAAACGATTTTTAATGCGTTGTAAACGTCTACAAAGGCAATTGTTTATGAAAAACTGCGTAAATACTGATGGCATACAAATAAGTTCCATACCAGCTTTTGTCCTGATAATCTGACAAACTTCTATCAATGCTATTAACTTACGTACCTTATGCCATGCCAACATTTGCTTCGAAGTTTTACGTGGGTACTTTCGCTATACTAGCTTCATACTTTACGTGCATTCGCTTACGAGCAACTGCGCAGGTACTTCATGCATGCGCAGTTTTCCATACGAACTTATCTCCTAAAAACAGCACAGCTAAAATGGCCATCTAACTTTACTGCCACCTTTCAGGACGATTTCACCATGCTGTACCACGCCATGGAGGGATTGGTCCGCCCAATACTGCCCCACTCTCCCAGCAGCCAATCAGAAGCCGAAGCCCTTCTGCGTCCACCCAGCCTGCGCACGAGCACTATGAGGGTACCTCCCGACGGAAGAGAGTGCTATGTGCCTGCAGAGTGTGTCTGACGTTCTGTCAGAGACCGTACGTGACTGTCACAGCAGAGGGTGCTCCGAGCCCGCCGAGTGCCTCTGACTCTGTCAGAAGCCGTGCTCCGTTTTGAACTGCAGGGGGAACCACGCATACCCAATTGTCCGAAACTGACAGATTCCCCACTACCAGGAAAGGGTTTTTGGTGCTTGTATTCGACACACTTCTCTCGGCGTCGATCGTACTTACCTTCTAGTGTAGCGTGGGTCTCTGCGATGGGGTTCGTGATGGCAGGGAATTTTCGTCTTTTGGTGTCGTGCATACGCCACACGTCTCACGTCCGGACTTTGGACGATATTTAGCTGCTGCTGACCAGCTGGGGCATGTCTATTGTCAGCGCTGGATGTGCGGAAGAGGCCATGCTGGCTTTCCTGCCGCTGCATTGTCCTTGGTGGCGTGTGCTTACAGTGTGCATGCGCTCTGAGATGGCAATGTAAAGTTGTCGCGCACTGTTACATAACTGACGTACAGTGGGGACTGGGGCTGGGGCTGGACGCTTTTTACACGTACGTGTAACGTCCGTGCTCTGACCTTCGTCCGTCGCTAAGCACTACATTAAGCCATGGTCACGCCATCAATCGCAAGCGAAGTTTACCAAAGAGGTGTTGCGGCGCCGTCAGTCCAGTGGTTTGGTGCAGCTCATGGTGTGTTTCTGCCGTGTTAACTCGACATCATAGTCACGTCGTAATCGCTTGCATCAGCGCATTGGCCAATTTCGTACGGGTGCGTAGCGCTTCAACACAGTTCACTTGTAGGCTCCCGCACTTTGTCTCATAAGACATTTATATTCCACTAGGTACGTTACTTATAAGTATTCTAGCGCGCTGTACATCACGCTGTGTCTGTAGTCAGGAAAGCTGTGATCACGTGCAGGTATTGTGCGGACCCGGCGCATTGGAATACGCTGTGCTCGCGTCTTTTGATACTACTGGGTGGGTCGTCTCAGCGTTGGTGCGCACGTCTTCGTACTGTCGGTGGCATCGCGCAGCTTTGTATGTGGGCCCGCGACTTGTCTCCGTTTGCTGGTTTTTACTGGTGTCGGACCATAACTGCGGCGACTCCCGCTCAGCTGAACAAGCTGTGGAAAGTCCGTGACATTGCGTCGAGTGCCTACGTTGGCAGTCTGATCGGCAATGCACTGCATAACTTTGTGTAGCTGTCAGCATAACTCTTCATGTTCGCTAAATGTTCTCTGTAAATGCGCGCGCTAAATTTCTCTACATATATTCCGTGCTGAAACACATTTCAGCTCAGCACTTTGGCATCCTCAATTCTAAATGAATGAAGTGCCAGGGGTCTATTGTAAGGCGTGATTTAAGTGCTAGATCGTCGGCATTCATAATGTTTTGGGGAGACTGCATTGCCATGATCTTGTCTGTACGTAACTGGGCTCTCCACAGCGTTCTTATCTCTTCCTCGCCCGGGCGGTGAAATTTCTGCGAATAAAGAAGATAATTCATACTTTTTATGGTTTCATTGCACCCAGCAAGCTCATTCCATGGCCAGTCGGAGTTGACCCAAGTCGCGTGTCTTCTCCGGGGAGCCCAATGCAGCTACCGAGTGACATCATATCGCATATGTGATGAACGGGCCTCGGACTGACGTGTGAAGGAGGCCCCCGCTTTGCGCTGGGCCCATGACTGACACAGGGCCCTTCCACTGTTATTGCGGCTCTCATCATGAGTTCTCATATCTCCGTGCACTGACGGGGCTCCGACCAACGCCAGAAGCCATCTGATATTTGGGTTGCCATCCCTATCCTTGTTCAGCAAATGCTTCGCTGGCCGAATCGGGGCCCCTTGGTAACACAGAACTTCTGCCCGACGCAGGGGCCCTCATTGTTTCAGGGGCCGGACCAATACAAGTCGCCGACTGGTTCCGGCCTCGTCCTTGCATGGGAAATGGACTCTCAGACTCAGACTTAAATGAAACCGATTGTTCGGTGCTGGTGGTGCTTGGCCAACATAGAGGCCATCATCGACTCCAGGGCCCCTAATCGGGACAAATGGAGGCTGGCTGGCATTGGAGGGCCTGAACTTGTGGGCCAGAACCCCTTAATACGACTTCCAGAACTCCGGGACCTTGGAACCCTCAAATTGGCTCATTGGTCGTCAATCCCGAGGAGGGGCACGTAGCTCTTTGCCCCCCCCCCCCCCTCTTCCTGTGCTACTGGAGCAGGAGAAAAGCACATGGAAAATATAAAAACAGTCGTGGATTACGCATGGCTTCTTTCCTATATTTTTGATCCAGCACATTAAGTTTTCAATCAATAGCCTTAAAAAACAGAGCGGTGAGTGATCTGTGGCTGATCGCATAGACCAAACACCGCCGTCACCGTCGCAGCATGTTATCTGCGTTTTGTTCTATGCATACTACGGTATCACATTAGTGCTACGGCGAAAACTCCTACCGGAAGAATTGCCACATCAGTTTAACGCGACATTACTTCTTCTGCAAAAACTTATACGCGACATTAGTTCGGACAAAGTCTTAACCAAAAGGCCGTTGTGGCACTGATATTGCGGGTAGGTCTGTACCGTAAAGTAATGCCGCGTATAAACAATAGCCGTATAAGTTTTTGAAGTGGAGGTAATGATGGACATAAGTTTTTAAGGTATAAGATATAAAGTGCAGCAGTAATGTCGCGTTTAAGTCTTTGTAGTAGAGGTAAAGTCGTGTATAAGTAATGACTGTTGTTCAGTAGGGAAAATGAGTATAAGGTGTTGCAGTCCAAATTTTGTCGCGTAGCACCAGTGTTGTGTATAAGTATCAGCAGTGGAAGTAGTGTCGTAACACTCCTCTCGGAAGCCGTGTTCGTTGTTGCACTGGTGTGGAACCACGTAGAACAATACGTAGATGTGGAAACGTTGACGAATGTGACCAACCCTCTGGATGGCCAGGTCTAGAGGAGTGATCAAATCTACTTGGCATCTAGACACCACGAATGTCCTGAAGCCGTCAAAGCTGGGGGGAGTTAAAGGCTCACATCCATACTAATAGTTTGTTTCCATGCACAGATTTTTCGCCGGCCAGTGTCGCTCGCAATAAATGATGACGTTGCTACGCATTTCATATAGCCATGTATGTTTAAAGAGATGGGAAGACGTTTGGCATATCAAAAAGCGCTTCCTTTTTCGCGGGGCGAGCTGAATTTGTCGGTGCAAAAATGCCTGTTGAATCAAAACTGCTCAAGAACAGTTGAATTACCTTGTTTGTGTCTTATCTTCCACCTGGTCTACAATACTGCGACTGCAAGTAGGTTGAAAAGTACCACTACTACTTACCCGCGTCGCGTAGGGTTCATTCATACCTCAAAACCTTTGAAAATTAGTCTTGCTTAAAAATCAAACCACTGGAAGACTTTATACTAATTAAAGCTGATCGTATGTCGCTGCTTTCCACACCTGTAACTACCGAAAGTCTTTTTCAGTCTTTCAGTAGACACATTCCACTAAATACGTCTCTTAAGATCAAAGTACGGCTTAAATGAAGGGAAACTCCATAGCACGCAAAAATTACCTGCCAATTTAATCTATTCAAGCATCCGAATGCTCCCCAGCGCATCAACCAGCGTCCGCCTAAAACTTCTAACCTCTCAAGGTCACCCTTCAAGGTCGACCAAATGCTTAAAAGTCGCGCGAATGCATATCGCCTATCAAATCAGCCGATTTCAACTTTTCAACCATCAAATAGTCACTGGCAAATGACCTAGTGTCCGTCAAAAAGTATTGACCTCTAAGGGCTACCATTAAATGGAATGGTTCACATTTGAAGATACTGAAGTAAGCGTCAGATATGATGAAACAAGCTCATGTTTAACTATTGGTACACTTTTTAAGTTGAAAAAGTGCTCTAGACAGCACAGTTCTTTATTTAGCAAACTATGGTTCCCAATGCGTCATGATTTGATTGCGTCATCGTACCTTGTACAGCATCGATTGAGAGTCGATTGACGGCCTTTACATGCAGTAATCACGCTCATGATCGCCGGATAAAAACTGCTTGACAATTTTAATTTTATTGGCCTTGATCACCGCATGGGTTAAAGAATGGCAGGATTTCAGTGACGCTACTATGACGTTATGAATGCCAAGATGACTTTGAAATGCTCTCTCCGACATACTTGTCCCCGCTCACGCGGGCATGCAGCTCGGAAACTAGAGGGATTCAGGACATAAGGGGGGCAGGATTGTGAAGGGCACCGAAAGGCCTTCAGGATAGTTATTTCAGTTCAAAACACCATGGAAATAAGGAGCACTCCTTTGAAAGGTCAATCTTTTGCTCAAATGACGGGGGCTTTGGCGACTTACTCAGCGTTTTTTTTTTCAGCGATGATTTCCGATTTCGCTGAGAACAAGTCATATGGTCTATTACGGCACGAAAACACCGAAAACAACGTCTACTTTGCAACAGCATGTGACTTTCAAGGTCAAAAGCAATGCCAAAGGACGAGGAACTCCATATCACCAGAAAATTACCGGCCGGTTTTCAACTTCAGTTTCTCATCCCTTTAGCCTGAATTTGACCTAAACGATGACCTGGAGAGGCCAAGACTTTCTGACGGATGCCAGTTTTTGCGCTCGTGAATATTCTGATGCTTGCAAATTCAAAATCGGCTGGTATTTTTGGTGATGTTGGGTTTGCTGTCATTTCGCATTGCTTTTGTCCTTGAAGGCCACGTGATGATGCAAAAGTCACGCCGCTTTTTTATATTCTCGCGCCATAATGGAAGATAAGACACGCTCTCAGAGAAATTAGAACTGGTCGCTGAATGAAATGCCGAATAAATCCCCAACTTTACGGACATCCCACACAAATCATTCCTCACCGCCCCATCACGCACACAACATTCCTTTTTCCTTTTCCCGCACCCCCGAACACACCATTCCTCTCCACATCGGCACACATTTCACCCCGCAACACACACTACTACTCCCCATCCTAAGACGCATCTTTCTAACCCGCCTCTGCACACACCAGTCCTCCCCGCTCCAAGACGTGTCATTTTTCTCCGCCTCAACACACGTCATTCCTCCTCTCCTCAATCTACACCATTCCTCTCTCCGCGCTCTAATACACGTCATTCCTTTGCC